TCAGTTGGCTAATTCTTGCAAGTTTTGAGTAGGTTTTCTTCTTAGGATGTTAAGTAAACTTAAGGGAAGTTTAGGATGGCTTAATACTAAAATAATTTCAAGTTATGAGAGATTAAGTAAAATGAGTTTTTAAATGAATTATTGAAAAAAAAGGATTAAATGGATTTAGAAGTCATATTTGACTTGTCAAGGGTATAATTAAGAAAATAGAAGTAATATAAATGAATTACAAACATGTTTGAAATTTTGTAAGATTCTTGGTTTCAAAAATTAAGTTGAGTTATTAAAGATGATGATGGGTTATATGGTTATAAGATGATTTGGGTAAGTGTAGTTAAGCTTAAAGGACTAAAAAGAGGTTATGGTATAAGAATTAAGTAAGTTTGGTAAGCTTTTCAAGTGAAAAAGATGAATTCTAGGCATGGGGTATCGGTACTGTTCATCCGTACCGAAACTCTAAAGCAAAATAAGTAGGAATTAAGCTTGGGGTATCGTTACTGTAGGAATAATATCGATACTATATGATATAATTGGATGAAATCTTTAAGAAGTATCGATACCTAAAGGATGATATCGGTACTGGTTGAAGGGGGTATCGATACCAAGTATTTAGTATCGATACCATTATCAAGTTGTAAACATTGAATTTAAATAGGTTATCGGTACCGAGGAGGGGTATCGATACCATAGAAAAGTAGTATCGGTACTATATGGGGAGTACCGATACTATTGAGTATAAAATGATAAGTTAAGTGTTTCTTTCAGCTTATGTTTTATTGATTGGTTATAAATGATTCGAACTTCGATAGTTATAGAAGTTGTATAATTGTGTAGATGTTAATCGAAAGTAAGTATCTGATGAGTTAACGAGATGAAATCGAGCAAGAAGGAGGTAAGTGCACAACTTGGACTAGTGAGACTAAGGTGAATGCATCTTATTTTATAGGATTATATGGAAATTGGACTTATGATAAGTCTATTTCCTATAATTATAGTGCATGAAGTCTTGATTATAAGTATGTGAATGACTTGAAGTGTATGTATGCTTAATTATATGAGTTGATATGTTCTTGTATGTGCTATGTGATTTATGTAAAAACACTATTAAGTGATAATGTGAGAATATAAAATAAGTTATGTAATTATGAGTATAAAATATGAGTCATGTGATAAGATATATGTGATACATGGAAATGAAAATATATGTCTATAAAGAGTCATAAGAGAATAAAATATAAGTCATATGCTAAAGAAATATAAGACTAAGTGAATACATGGTTATGAGATAAAATAGGTAATAATATGAGAATATGATGAAAGTGAGTTCATGAGAAGCGATATGAACTAGGTAAGCATGTGTCACGGTTATATGAATAATAGAAACATGAGTTGGATAAATACATAGTGGTATGATCAATTATGAGAATTAGTATAATAGAATTATATGATTTAATGAGAATTGAGGAAAATTAAATAAGATTGAACTATGGGATGAAATGGGAATAGTATATCAATTAGGAAACTTGAAAATAAGTGATGATACGAACATATAAGATAAGTTATATGCTAAAGATCTATGAGTTATATGAAAAGATTATAGGGAATATATGAAATTGAATTAAGTAAATAGATTAAATTAGTATATAAATAAAATACTATTAAGTGACATATGTTTATAAATATGACATAGGTTATGTAATCTAAGTGAATACAAAGAAATGAAGCATAAGGTATATATGATATGATATAAGTTATTATATACATATATGATACATGTTATTAAGAAATGTGACAAGTAATATGAAATGACTTGAAAAATTGATATAAGCTATGTGAAAGAGATCCATGTGTCTATATGTCATATGTGATTTATGTGACAATGAGTTATATGAAAATAAGTGCAGTGATTACATGATCACAAGAGATAAGTCATAGGATGTGAATGATATAATAAGAAGCTATGAGCTTATGTGATATGAATAAGTGACTATGTGATAAGTATAAAAATAATGCCCATGTTATGTGTCAGGAGAGCTAGAGGTATAGTTGGCATGCCAAGAGTCGAGGGTTCTACATGGTCCTTCAGGACATATATGTAATCCTTTGGAACATATATGCAGTACTACGGTACACTTATTTAGTCCATTGGAATATGTATATGGTTCTTAAGGAGTGGTCCTTCGGGACATATGTGTTATATGTGGTCTTTCGGGACATAGTGGTCATTCGGGATAAATTCTACGCGCCCCTAGTGGGAATTATACGAGCTGTGGTGACAACATATGTGCACAACCTCTATGTATTCACATATATTTAGTTCTCACATGTGTACATGGGATAATAAAGAGATAACAACAAATATAATATATGTGATGTTTGTGCTCTGTGATATGAGATGTGTTGTTTGGTGTAAATGAATTATATGATAGTTAAGAAGGTTAAGTATAAGAATAGATTACTAAAAGGTATGAATAAATGTAATATTGATTATGAAATGAGGTTATTGATAATAATGATAAGATCTGTATACGTGTGCATTTGATTATATGTAATGTATATTGTTTTGTGTGACAATATTATATGATATGTTCATGCATGGTTAAGTAGTTAGAGTTTCCTTTATAAGTTTATTCCTCAATAAGTCATCGACTTAGCGGTGAGTGTTTCATACATTGGTTCTGGGAAGCAAAAAGAAAAGCTAAGAGGAGCAAGACATGTCAGCCTCTCCTTTACGAAGCTCAGATCAAAAAAGAAATGATTAATATGTATTATGTTATTTAAAAATATAGTTGACATGTACTAATAGAATTGAGTTGAATATGCTCTGATATGTTTTGTAAAACCAACTGATTTTAATACATGAAAAGTAAGCACTTTCTAGAAATTTTGAATTTAAATTTTAACTATTTTATAAAGAAAAAAAATTTTGTTTGAAAAGTCAATCTGATACATCGGACTCTGATCCGGGTCGGATATGGGTTGGGGGTGTTACAGATCGGGTGAAGGATATATATTTTTTGGGACGAGTCAAGTATGGGTGAATGAAATATATTTTTGGGTCGGATTTGTTTGACCAAAAGCTTGAGCTTTCTCGACCCATTGACTCCCTAATTTTAACTAACCTCACTCAATATATTATTTAATACTAAATTTTTTGTTTTTGTAAGGGTATACTACAAGTTTCATCACTTAACTTTCTCCTCATCCTATTTTGGTCACTAAAGTTTATTTTTTTAATTTACTCATTTAACTTTTGATTTATTTAATTTTAGTCACTCCATTGCTAGATACTTAACAGGGTCATGATTGAATATTTATCTTTTAAAAAATATAAATGATTCCAAATATTTCTCTCTTTTTTTTGTAAAAAAATATAGTTTTAAATTTCCTTTGATTTCTCGATGATGAAAAATCTTATTCCAAATTCCAACGGTGGAGAGGTGGGTTTTATGAGTTTTGGATATTATAGATTAGAGAAGTTTGAGGTTTGATCATAAGGTTGAGCTTAGGGTTGAGTTTTAAAGCGAATGGGTAAACTCTAAACTGACAAAGTAGTAGGAGATAATCAGGTAAGTTCATCGATATATATCTTGAGTGGTAAGAGAAGACGTTGGAGAATTATAACATAAACGTGACTAGGGGATATAATTATAAAGCTTTCATATTTGAATGAAGAAAATAAAAGAAACAAAGAAAAAAAAAGAAAAATTATGTGGATGACACATAGATTATATATTAATAAAAAAGCAATCCACATCAATATATACGATTGTTATGTCACTATTCTATTTATGATTTAGCACATCAATGATTAAAATGGGAACCTATCAAAATTTAAATGAATAAATTAAAAAATTTTAAATTTTAATGACCAAAATAAGAATGAGAATAAAATTAAGCGATGAAATATACAATATACCTTAAACACAAATATCATACCATATTTGGAAAAGCGTGGTGAGAATTACCAAAAATGGGAAGTTCCTAACTTGATAATTGAAGCAGTAACACGTGGAGATGTGATTGAGAATTGAGACATTGTATAAACAATTTCTCTACTGAAATCAAGCATTTATGTAGGAAAGTATCAATTTCCCAATTTCCATAGCCAATTTGTTGTATTTTTTCATTTTTTTAATTAATTTTTTTTATTTTTCCGAAAAACTCGAGTTTAGTCTATAAAATTGGCGGTCTATAAACTATTAATTAATCGACTAATTAATTAAACACACTTGAACCTTTGGTTTATGGGATCCAATAAGCTAAATGATGATGAGATGAGATCTCGTGCATGGGATAATATTAGTATCTTTCTTTCGTTGGTTTGAATAATATTTAATTTGTGACAAAAATATTAGATGAGAAAAATATAGTAACAGATTTGTTATAAAAATAATACGATAGCTGTTGGAATGATGATAGATTTTCTTTCCGACAATCATCTATAGTAGGGACGTAAGTAAAATTTTATGTTATAGGACGAGTTTAAATTTAAGGGAGACGACCTAAAATTTTAGAGGTGAACTAAAATTCTAGGGACGTAAGAATAACAACAATTCTTTTAATCATTGAAATAATTTGGTTGGTGCAATGTAAAATGATATTTAAGGAGATAATAAGATATTATTTTTTGTTAACAATTTAAAAAAATAAAATTTAATAATTAATATATTTTAAAACCAAATATATGGAATATTAAATGAAGGACTACCTCGGATGTAACTTTTTACGTGGCAGCATGGCGGGGAAAGATACGCAAGTTCCCACTCTAAACTCTAATCGGCATTGGCAATGGCAATTCCCTACACTTACGTACACCATTATTCATTTCATAAACTTCTTTTTGAAGAAGAAGAATTAGATGATGAAACCATCTTCTGTAATAATCCATATATCACATTGAGTTTACGATATGATATACTATGAATACTATAATCTTTATACAAATTATAAGCATAAATATACAACGATGTTTCTAAATCCGGGGATGCATTTCATCATCACCCTTCTTCAGGGAAGCAAAGTGCGCAACATTGACAGCACCCAAAGCAAGCTACAGCGCCCAGTACTTGCGTTAATATTACCGCACATTGGTTGTTCATCTTTGAACAACAGTCGAGGCAGCACACGCAATAGCAACTTTTACACAGCTGACCACACCAATTTGAACTTCTCTTGTTCAGAATTTCCATCACTTCTGGTAAATTCTCTTCGACGGATCCCGGACGGATGTTCTCAGCGGTTGCCGCCAGATTGCCGAAACCGACTGTAAGTATTTGAAGCAATATCTTTTTCGGCCCTGCGGACTCCAAAAGCTTGCGTGCATTGCCTTTACTCGATATCTGTACTCATACAACACATTGTCCTCGTAAGATAATATTGCAAGTTGCATGGAGTGGATGATACCGTGGTATCCTATAGCCTACCTTCTGAGCTCCGGTAACATCGGTTTCATTGTCGATTTTACTTTTCTCGAGTAAGACCATACGAGAATACTCAGAGATATTGCAAGTTCTTATGCTCAAATTGACGATCTGCCATTTACAAACCAATTTAATATCAGAAACGGTCGTTTAGCCTACCAATTGTGGGTGGAAAATGTCGAGAATACTGAGAAACAACCTGCTCCTCGAGCTGTTTATTTTCCGAAAACCATGCCTGCGCCGTGAGTAGATCGATCTGCTGCCTGGCTATAACCTGCAAGAGAAAAATGAAAACATATATATATGCAAATCCAAGAGAAAATCATTGGAGGTATACAGGCGTCTTACTTTGTCAAGAGGTATGTCCTTCGCCTTTTCTATCTTCAAATCGATAATGAAACTACTTGAATCTCCTAGAACGCCTTTAGCTTTAAGAGTGTCGGGGAAACTGCCTTTGTACCTCCCGCATATTATCAGTGGCGTATCCGATGAAAGGTCGGGAATACATAATGAGTACAGCTATACGGATGTTGCAGGTAAAAAATATACATACCCGCATCAGATACATACTCGCATCAGATACATACTCGCATCAGACAGACATATTCAAGTTCACTTAGCATAATGTCATAGATGAATGGAACTTATAAAGGCACTCAGACATGTACATACCTTTATTTGCTCATGATCATCAGATGCATCAATGGATATGTTTGCAATAACAGTGGATAAACCTTTACTAAATAGTTTCTGCATCCGAAACTCGATCGAATCTGACAAAAAGAGAGGAAGGTAATACCGGTAAGATTAATAATACACGATGCAAACGTTTATATACTGTTGTACATACAAACCTAGATCAAAAGCAGCAGCATATCCTCCCTGGCTAATCATTGACAGCATGCGCAGGAAATGGTGATTGCAGAATGATCCTGCAATGTCCCCATACAAGTTAAACAAGAAGCTATGGTGCAACTAATACTGTGTTAATAGCTGGAAATATATATAGGCCTTATTTACCTATGCCAAAAGTATGTATCCGTGGGGAGAATGACCCTCCATTTTTCACGACCTTATTCATCCACTCACAGATTTTTCTCTCATCTTCAACAGCTCCATCAGTAACAAGAAAAACCATGGGAATCGTACCATGCGTGTTTGACAGCATATCAACTGCCTGACAAATATAAGTTTTAAGATCATAGGATGCATTTTCTGTTCTCTTGAATCGAAACAGAAAACATAAAAAAGTTTAATGAAAAGAAACAAAGGAAATGCATAAACACCTTTTGAAGAGGAATGAAAATATTTGTACCAGCCCCATCACAATGGTTCTTGGCTATCCATTCAGAGGCCCTTTCAACTGCTTCCTCGGAAGCCAACACCATGGATGTGCAAAACAGGAAGGTCTCATCTCTAAAAAGTATGATGTTAAATGAATCTTCTGGACTGAGCTTAGACAGGGCTGTGTTTATTGCACGTTTGATACTCTCAAGTGAATTCCCTCGCATGCTGGCACTTACATCAACAACAAATATGACCTCCTTTCTGAACACCTATAAATCCAATAGGCTAAAGATAGATATACCAGAACCAGACTAGAACCGAGGAAGGAAACGAATGCTATACTGACCTTTGTATCACGCTGACTTCCAGGGAAAAGATACATATAGAACATATCCCTTTGATCCGAATCATATACCGAAGGAGACTGAAAAAGGGCTCCTCCATATATGTTACTGGAAGAAACCTATCAAGATGTAAACAACAAGATGAAATCATAAGTATCTGATGTAAGTATCAACAGACTTTAGGGAAGTTCATGTTTCGTGAAACTGTTTTGCAGTTCTAAAGAAAAGATGATATGAAAACAAGTTAATTCGAATTCTTACACTATATGATAAACTCAAGTCGGTTTCGGACCACTTAAGAACATTTGCTTCATATAAGAAGCCAATCTCCCCTGTCTCACTTCTTAATTCCTGAAATGTTGAAGAGATTAACTGAACAATAAGTAGAAAGGAAACGATATCATTAATCAAGTCCCAACACGCAAATTCAAACACAAATGTACACCTTAAAAGGATGACTAGTTGCCTGGACCATTCCGGTTGCAATACCAGAGTTCACATTCAATTGTATCTTTTCTTTTCTTGCAATCTTCCTTATAGAAGGATTAACAAATTCAGGAAAACTGAAGGGCACAGTCAGAGTCAACTGGCCATCATTATATGACAATTTCTGAGACCAATGAAGCTTAATCGATACAGAAGTACCCCCATCGATCTGGAAATATAAAACAAACATTCGTTAGAAACAATAGACTTACAGAAAATTGAGTTACATTATAACAATGAGACATGGATGCACCTTTGGTATTGTTATCGTAAATATACGAGGACACACAAACACTCCATCTTCTGGTTTCGCTATGTTCTTAATACCCTTACTTTCTTCTACTCCGACTAGTTCAGTGGAATATGATTTTGTAGGAAGATCAACCTCAACACCTAGAATTGAACCCTGTTAGCCAAGTAATACATTATTGCTTGACACCATTAATAAGCACTTCAAACACCATTAGCTGAAAATGAATCATTTTGAGCTAAGATCCAGACCAAAAAGCTTAAAGCTAAATCCTTAGGCTATTGACAACACACACATATCGTGGTGACTCAGGTAATCGAACTCGAGATCTATAAAGAGAACAATATCCTTTTTTACCATCGATAATACATGCTCAGGGAACTGACCTGGTCGCCCATCGGGAGAGCAATGCGACAGTTACAAGAACGGCTACCCATAACGCAATGAACCCTCCACGTCCCAGAAACTTGAACAAAGGCTGTATCGCCATAACAATCAACGTCGAGATTGATGGCGTTCATCTGGAGAGGAATCAAAGCGGGTCGATCCAGCCTCCCATGCACGTGAGGCTGGTAACTTGGGATATCCGGGTTGTCGACAATCCTCGGGTCGAGTATGACCGCATACACCATGGGCGCCGATGGCAAGTAAATATGAGGAGACTTCTCCATCGGTGGTAGCGGCTTGGGTGGTGCTACCGCCCTGTCTTTCCCTAAGTATATCCGTTTCCCTAGCTTTAGCCCGTCCTCCACCGCCCTTGCAAAATCCTCCGCCATTGTTTAACGTAAAGTTTAAACAAAAAATCTCTCTTTCACCCTCTTTTTTCTTTCTTTCTTCTTCTTCACATGAGAAAACGAAAGGAGATTGTTTTGGACAGCAGGGATCTGGGATTACTCGGGTGATCTGGTTCCTGGAATCGGCGTGACCACCTTATTCGTATTGTTCTTATATTTTTCGAATGGGATTATTTTCATTTTTTAGAGAAAAAGACGCGTATTTTTATATAATACTAACAACGATGCATGCTTCATAACTAATTCAATACTCAACTAATTACAGAATCTTGTATGGGATCTTAGTCCGACAAATATGGTTATTATTGTAATATTTAAGGAGTAGACTATATTAATGGTCAGTAAGGTATAAGTAAATTTCTTTTTTCAGCACTGAAGTTTTAAAAATAATGAAACAACCATTAATATTATCATTTAATAACAAAACGATCACTGGTATTATTGTTTTGTAACAAATCGATCACTCAACTATTAACAACTATTACCATAGTCCGGAAGTTTGATATGATATAACATATCACATCATTACTTCGAATGATGTGACATGTGTCACATCAATTTTAAGCACATGTGAAATTGCAACGTTAATAACATATGTTAGATCATTGGTCAACTAACATTTCTACCAAACATTAATTATTTTAACAAAAAATTGAAAGTTGAGAACTAAAACATTAAAAAAAGGAATCAAAGTAACTATTTATATAAATATTGGACTAATTTAATCATTATGCCTATAGATTTTGATTTGAGACATAACTAAACAAGGACTCATATGTATTTCCACCAAAGTAAAATTGGAAAAAGACGCCGAAGCCCTTTTTTACCCTTCAAAGCATCAAAACGTTCCCATAACAAAAGGGTGCGATTGTAAGAGGAGAAAGAAACCAGGAATAATAATACTTTTAAAAAAGCGTAAGCGACATGAATGGTCGCTAAAGTTTAAGAAAATTTCAGTTTTCTCCATTGAGCTTTCAAAAGTTACAAGTTCATCACTAACATTATGGATTTATAACAAAATGATAACTCCACTGTCATATCCGTTAAATCAATGACGTGACAACATTAACAAAAAGTTTAATATTTAATTTTATCCCTAAATATTGTTAAAATATTAAATAGATCTGTAAACGACAAATTTATATATAATTTATTCCAAAACATTTCTAATTTTCATTTTTTTTAAAATATCCATTACCACCAATTTATTTCTCCCCTTCCCGTCTCTCCCAACTCATCAGCTCCCAAACCCAGCCATCTAAGTGGCCTAAGGAATAGCAGCCCCATTGACAAAAAAAAAGGAGCACAATCAAGAACAGGAAATCCGCTGCTACGTCTAGAGAACGCAAACAAGTCAGGCTCTCTTTCCTAATTCATGTTTGGTTGCCAAGAAAATGGGAAAAAAATAATGTACTTACCTTTTGTCTCATCGATTTTAATTGTATTGCTGTCCTTGTTGACATTTAGCCATATACTGTTGAACTGAAATCTATGATTTCACATTTGGAAGAAGAGAACGCTCAGTTTCCAAGAGAAGAGCTATATATGCTGCTATATTATAAGATTTTAGATCACATTCAAGAATTCCGATTGTTTCCCATTTCCCAGCTTAATGAACTACTTAAGTTGTACATATTTGCTCAAAATTAAAATGTGTTTGAAGATAATTCTAAAGCTATAATCGATGTACATAAATCAAAATGATGTATTACCATGCTTCTTTTAAAGTATATTTATTCGTAACATGAACCGTAACAGTGAAGATTTTAGCCCCTTTTCTTTTTGATCTATATACACTTAATCTCGATGAATGTATGGATCAAGGTTAGGCATTAGATCATGAACGTTTTGATTCTGAATTGATTTCCTAAAATACATTGCAGGTTGAGCAGAACAAGGTGAGGTGTGAGCAGGTATGTCACTTTGTTTAATCATTCAATTCAATTACGTTATACAGAGATGCTGATGAGGTGGGAGAGGCGGGAGGCGGGAGGAATATGGTGGTAGTAATGGTTATTTGGAAAAAAATGAAAACTAGAATTTTTTTGGATAAATTAGATATAAAATCATTGTTTAAGGACCTATTCAATACTTTAGTAGTATTTTAGGGGTAAAACTAAATGTTAACATTTTTGTTAACATTTCCGCATCATCAATCCAACGGAGATGATTGAGTGACCATATTGCTAGAAATTGATAATATTAGTATTAATTTGTAATATTTTAAAGTTAAGTGGAGAGAAAATATTTATTCAAACTTTAGTGATCATTCTTGTAGTTTACGCTTTAAAAATTGAAAGAAGGTTATTTTGGACAAATAACTGAGTTTTTTTTTGTATCCCTGAGTTAATTCGAAAGAGTCTTAAAAAGAGCTTGGCAATTTCGTTCTTGGGGAAGAAGCTTTCTCTTATAAGTAAGAATCTCTGCATCCAAAACCCTATAAAAAAAACAAAATAATTCCAAAGAAACAAGAGAGAAAATGAGGCGAGGAAGTGGAGGCGGATACGATCTCCATATCACCATCTTCTCTCCCGAAGGCCGTCTCTTCCAAGTTGGTATGTATATATATTCACTCTACTCCCCTACTTTTGTATTGGTTCCCATAAATAGCTTTGGACCAATTTTGATTTTGGAATGAATTGAGCAGAGTATGCGTTTAAAGCAGTAAAAGCAGCTGGGATCACATCGATTGGTATTTGAGGAAAAGATTCAGTCTGTGTTGTTACTCAGAAGAAAGTTCCTGTCCGTACACTCCTTCAATTTATTTCTGGGTTTTCGTTTTTGGGGTTATTTAATTTTTTTTGGCGATTTGAGTATTTAATTTTTTTTAATAATGCAATGCAGGACAAGCTTTTGGATCAGACTAGTGCCACTCATCTTTTCCCAATTACCAAGTTCCTTGGATTGTTGGCTACTGGAATGAGAGGTTTAGTTTAGTTTTTTTTTTGGAAATGCCATTTTTATTTGATATTTGCTTGATCGAATTTGAAAGACTTTTATTACGTTGACTACTGAACTAGGGTTTTGTGGAGAATAAGGATTTTGGGTTGATATACCTAATTTTAAGCTTAAAATCAGTGTAAATTAGGGTTGGAATTTTTCTTCAAAGTTGTATCCAAGGTATGAAAGCTATGAAAATGTCAATTAGAACAGAATGGTTTTCTTAATAAATTAACTTTTACTAACCCTGGCAAATGGCATCACATAATGGACCAGCTTTCTCTCGTTAATTTGCTTGCCTCTCTTTAGGATAGAACTCAAATATATTTTTACTGGCTACATTAGATTAACGCACAAGGCTAAAATTCCTTTATTGTTATGCAAATACTTTGTGAGGGTTGCTTTTCTAATTTGCATTGTTGCTCTGCAGCTGATGCGAGGACCTTGGTCCAGCAAGGAAGGAATGAAGCAGCCGAGTTTCGGTTCAGATACGGATATGAGATGCCTGTGGATAGTATTGTCCAAATGGTATGGTTTCTTATATCCTCTTAAGTTGAAATTACCGATGTTTATCTGTGTTCCTGTTGGTTGATGTTGTAGCTGTAGAGTTCTTCACCACTTCTAGAGAATGCTTGAACTTTTAACAAATTTAGTGATGTCAAGAAACGTTCATTTGGATATAAGATGACAGCAAATTTATGCCCCGAAGACTGCAGACAAAGTACTCTATGTTTGTGGTTCACGAATATAATCTTGGTTCAAAAACCAGTAACTGACCACATTTTATATTACTATTTATTTTGAATTATTCATTAACTTTTCTTTGATGTTTGGGGTTCTTGTACATTTCAAGATCATACAGCTTATTTAGAATAACATGCTTTATTGATGTAGGATTGCCGACAAATCACAGGTTTACACACAACATGCTTGTATGAGACCTCTTGGAGTTGGTATGTATATTTATTCTTCAAAATCTTACAACTGTGGTTTTGTTTTTAATAATTTGTCTTTGTCACAGAAGATTTACAGTTTTTCAGTTTGTTCACACATGTAAGACGCTATATGCAAGTATATTTACGAGCAACTTTCTCAAATTTTACCTGTTAATAGCTTTCTTACTATTTTCTGTGAAGTTGCTATGGTTTTGGGTATTGATGAAGAAAAGGGACCCCAACTCTACAAGTGTGATCCAGCAGGCCATTTTTATGGTCACAGGGTAGTTTTCAAATTAATTTTTATTGCTCGTTTAGTTTGAATCCTTGACTTTGGTTCTCAGCACCTGGTTCTGAAAGCATATTGTATTATCGTAGATAGGATTCATTGCTGTTTTTCTCTAATATTTCTCTTTGACTTATTATTCGCAAAGACCTTTATTTGCGTGACGAAGGTAGTAATGTACTTGCTGAACCCCCCCCCCCCCCCAACAACAACACACACAATTTGTTTACGATAATGAAAAATTAGAAAACCTAGAAAACCATAGATTTCGGAAGATCGCATACAAACAAAATTCTTAGAATGGGAATTATTCAATACTCTCATACCACTACCCATCATATATTCATATCATGGGTGTTTGCTGCCACAAGTTGATATAAACTATTTCATTTTCTTTGTTCTTCTCCTTGGGCATGAAAGTAGCATGTTTGTTCTCCAATCTGAGCTGATTGGTGCAATAACATGATTCCAAATTGTTTTTGACTAATTTTAGGGTAAGCATTTTGATTGTGGGATGAATTTTGACTCATATGCTGCAGGCAACCAGTGCTTGATCCAAAGAGCAAGAGGCAATTAATTTCTTGGAAAAGAAGATGAAGAATGACCCTGCTTTTACTTATGAGGAAACAGTGCAGGTATTTATATTTTATTTTTCCTTTATGCACGGTAAAGGATGTTTCCAAAGACCACATGTTTAACATTAGCTAAAACAATCACATTTATCTAATTGTTCCTATTACTACTATTCTGCATACTGCTATTTCTGCTCTGCAATCTGTTATTCAAGAGGATTTCAAGGCTACTGAGATAGAGGTATACTGAGTCAGCTGATCCTTCTACTTGCTAGCGGTTACAGTATTTAAT